AGGAAGGAAGGAAAGGGAGGAAAGGAAGGGAGGAAAGGAAGGAAGGGAGATTAAAAAAAGAGAAAAATTTAAACAATACAGTTATTGTAAATAGTACATTTGATTTAAAATCACTTCCTTTTTCATAGGCCAGAGAAAATTATGAAATAGCTCCAGTAATTTCCTCTGGGGTTTATAAAATTAAGTTTTCTATGGCCCACACATCCCATTTAATCCTCACAACAGTCCTGAGTGGAGATATTTTCATTATTCCCATTTTACAGACAAGGACAGTGAGGCTCAAGGAGACGACGTAATTTGCACGAGAGACCACAGCTTTAATAAGGGGCAGGAGGTGGGTACAGTGGTGTGGGCCTGGAGTCCCACTACTGGAGAGTCTGAGGGAGGAAGATAGCTTAAGCCTAGTTCTCCAAAAAACATCAGAGTGGGAGTAGAATCAGAACTCACAACTATGATTCAGGCTGCCTCTGTCTACCTATTTCCTCCTTATTCTCAGTTGGTTCCAAAAGTAAGTTCAGGACCAACTGAGAATCTGTGTTCAGAACCAATTGAGAATCTCTTTTACACAGAGCAGGAACGGGAACTAGAAATCCAGGCCGCCTTGCAAGTTTGGCTCCCAAGGCCTGAGACTGGCTTGATAGAGTGTTGGCTTGACAGAGTGTCCTGTGATCCCACTAGATCCCAAATCCCAGGCCAGAGATTGTAACATGTCTTCTTTGTTATAGTCCCAGTGACCAAAAGCCAACAGATGCACAAATGCACCTTAATTCTATTATAGAGAGGTAGAAGGAACTTACAGGTCAGCTCCCCAGATGTCTGGCCTATCCCTGCTGTTCCTCTTCTCTCCATGGCCTGAGTCCCCATGCCAGGCTTAATTCATCCATCAGCCTCTGCCCAGCTTGTCCCTTTGTCCCCTCCAGCCCCTTTGCCACCACTCACAGATCTTACCAGCCCCATGAGTCAAGCCTCTCTGCTGATGCTGGTTTCCCCAGCTACAGAACAGGAGTGATACTAGTCCCCCATCATGGACTTGTGTGTAGAATATATAATATGGAAATATATACAATATATAAAGTGCAAAGATGGCTGGGCGTGGTGGCTCACACCTGTAATCCCAGAACTTTGGGAGGCCGAAGCAGGTGGATCACCTGAGGTCAGGAGTTCAAGACAAGCCTGGCCAACATGGTGAAACCCCGTCTCTACTAAAAATACAAAAACTAGCTGGCATGCTGACAGGTACCTGTAATCCCAGCTACTTGGGAAGCTGAGGCAAGAGAATTGCTTGAACCTGGGAGGCAGAGGTTGCAGTGAGCCGAGATCCACTACACTTCAGCCTGGGTGACAGGGCCAGAGTCATCTCAAAAAAAAAAAAGAAAGAAAAGAAAAGTAAAGTGCAGAGAATAGTGCCTGACACACAGTATACAGTAGGTACGATTTCAGTATTAGTCGCTACTGTTGTCATAATCACCAGAGTGTTTCAAGAGCTGAGCCTCCGTGGCTCTCCACATCGCTTCACAAACTCCCCTCTTCTGTTCTGGGAACCAGCCTGAATTGCAACCGCAACCCCCAACCGATGCAACCCTATAAGCAAACCAGAATCATGGCTAGGGCAGGGGCTCTACCCTTTGGGATCTGGCCAAGCCAGGAAGAGATAGAGTGGCCTGAAGGCAAATCGCAGGTGATTCAGAATGTTCATTATGTGGTTAACGCTATCCTACTCCTGCTTTAGAGAGAAGCCACCATGAAAAGTTCTCATCATCAGGGGCAGGCCTCTCTGTCCCCTGGTTATAATGCCTACTTTGTATGAAAGTTGCCTTTCCTACAGAGAGCACTTCATGGACAGAACGGGGGACTGGCCACTTCCAGGAGTGATTTTAACAATGCTCCTCCCACCCCCAGTCAAATGCATACTTCCCAATGGCTGACTGAGATGTCACAGTAACAGGCTACCCTCAGGTGAAGGAGATCCACACATGCTAATCAGTCATTTACACTTTAACATCACAGAGCATCACATAATTTTCTGTAGTAGACTTTCTTTGAAAGAGGGAGATAGGCCTTAGTTCTTGTTATAAAAATGAAGATTGGCCAGGCACAGTGGCTCACACTTGTAATTCCAGCACTTGGAAGCAGCACCAGGTGGATCACCTGAGGTCAGGAGTTTGAGACCAGCCTGGCCAACATGGTGAAGCCTTGTCTCTAATAAAAATACAAAAAAAAAAAAAAAAAAAAAATAGCTGGGTGTGGTGGCAGGCTCCTGTAATCCCAAGCTACTCGGGAGGCTGAGCCAGGAGAATCACTTGAACCTGGGAGACAGAGGCTGTAGTGAGCCGAGATCACACCACCGCACTCCAGCCTGGGTGACAGAGCGAGACTCCAAAACAAAAAACAAACAAACAAGCAAAGAAAAACCCCAGAGGATCCAAGTGACATCCCCTGGATCACAAGGGAGCTCCCTCATGGGGCAAAGCTAAGATGCCTGTCTTCAGGCAGTATGAACTCTGGAATCTGGTAAAGCAGAAAATGGAGAGCCCAAATGCAATTTTTCACCATTTCAAAGGGCCCCCCAGAAAGATGAGAGAGAAGTCACCGGGAGAAAGCCACAGGAGCCGGCTGAGCAACTGGGAGGCAGGCCCCTGTGACAGTTGCAGGCCTGGGCACAGGGTTGGGTTACATCCGGCTCTGCTCTTTTGTGCAACCTCAGACAAGTCACTGCATCTTTGCGCCTCGGTCTCCTTGTCTGCAAAACAGAGATGATGATAATAGGATCACCCTTCCTGACTTACTGTGAGGATTAATTGCGTTTTACACAACTAAGCTCCCCACAATCCCATTTTCACCCTTGCATTTATGGCCTGGCAGGTTAGGTTCTGCAAGGCTGTTTCACAGATCCTTTGAGGAGCACTTTTGATATGTTAACCCAGGCATGCCCTTCTTACTGACGCACGTTAAAAAAAAAAAAATGCTTTTTTTGTTTGTTTGTTTTAGACAAAGCCTGGGGTCTCTGTCACCCAGGCTGGAGTGAAGTGGCACGTTCACGGCTAGCTGTAGCTTCAACCACCTGGGCTCAAGTGGTCCTCCCACCTCAGCCTCCCAAGTATCTGGGACCACAGTCATGCACCACCACCCCTGGCTAATTTTTTTTTATTTGTAGAGGCAGGGTCTTCCTATGTTGCCCAGGCTTGTCTTGAACTCCTGGGCCCAAGGGCTTCTCCCACCTCAGCCTCCCAAATTCCTGGGATTACAGGTGTGAGTCACTGCACCTGGCCTCACTTTGAAAATCAGAAAGCAGGTTACCCTCCTTGAGGATGTTCGCAAGTGTCAAAGAGAATACCTCCAACCAATCCAATAAGAAACAGTTATTGTTGCGGCCGGGCCTGGCCGGACTGCGCTAGGTTAGGCTCTGGCAGGGTCGCAAGGGCGGGGGTAGCAGGGGCACGGGTGGCAGCCCCGCGTGGCACATGACTGTCATCCCGGATACTCAGGAGGCTGAGGCAGGAGAATCACTTGAACCTGGGAGACAGAGGCTG